CTTCACATAAGGTATTTGCTGGAGAGCTTCGCTGACCCTAACTGTGAAAATAGCATTAATATTTAAGTCTTTTCTATGTTTAGTTTTAGGTCCTGTCATCTATGTTTAAGGCTTCTTAGCTGCCACTTCTTCTTACCTCTTCTTGTATGCCTCTTTCTTTGCATAGTATTTTATCTCTATTTTGTAAAACTGTTTTGAAACTGGTTATAAGACTTGTAAAGTGATTTTATTTTTGATTCTCCTTTCTTCAACATTGTTGAAGGGATCTTCACTGTTTGAGGCTCCTTTTTTCACTTTGCCTCTTTATCTCCGTCATTTCATGGTCTCTTATTTTGCTGTTTTGTTAGCCCCTTGTGCTTGTATTTATTAGGCTCTGCGTTCTCAACTGTAAATAAGCCTTTGATTTTTGACCCTCTCCTTAATGGTCCCGTTTTTATCAAGGGACTTTTTCTTTTTGGAAGCGGCCTTTTTCTCTTTGTGTTTTAAACCTCTTTTATATCCGGCTCCTTATTTTGCATATGATATTTAAAGCTAACGCGTGTTGCAACTGTTGTGCGGGTTTTTTGTCACTAACCTTCACACCACCTAATAGTGCGAAATCAATCCAAATTATCTCATAATAACATTTTAATGCATTAAGAACAAGTATAAAAAAAATTCTTTGAAATCCAACACATATGAATTCCTTGAAAAGGTCCAACATATATGATTATTATATCTCATAATAACATTTTAATGCATTAAGAACAAGTATAAAAAAAATTTCTTGAAAAGTCCAACACATATGATTATTATCAAAACATTAAACTTTAATATAATATAATATATAAAAAAAGACATTTAATTCTTTGAAAAGTTCAACACATATGATTATTATCAAAATATTAAACTTTAATATAATATAAAAAAAAAAATACATTTAATTCCTTAAAAAGTCCAACACATATGATTATTATCAAAATATTAAACTTTAATATAATATAAAAAAGGAAAAAAAGAAAAAATTTAAAAAAATATATTTAAAAATCACAATTCCCATATATAGATAATTTGTAAACACAATCCGTACATAGCACGGGTGATATGCTAGTCTATACTATATATTAAGTAAAAGGGGGTTTTTAACTCCAAGCCTTGTGGGAGCTCCAATCTCCCAATCTAAATTTCTTGATTTTTTGATTTAAAAAAAAAATCATAGCATTTATTAACTTCTCTCAACTCCCATGTCTTACCCTTATAATAACACTTTAATGCTTTAAGAACAAGTATAAAAAAAAATCTTTAAAATCCAACACATATGAATTCCTTGAAAAGTCCCAACACATATGATTATTATCCCTCATAATAACACTTTAATGCATTAAGAACAAGCATAAAAAAAAATTCTTGAAAAGTCCAATACATATGATTGTTATCAAAATATTAAACTTTAATATAATATGATAAAAAAAAAGACATTTAATTCCTTGAAAAGTCTAACATATATGATTATTATTAAAATGTTAAAGTTTAATATAATATAAAAAAAGAAAAAAATAAGGCATTTAAAAAAAAAAGACATTTAAAATCATAATTTACATATATAGATAATTGTAAACACAACCCGTGCATGGCACGTGTGATATGCTAGTATTATATAAGGAAAAAGGAGTTTTTAACAAACAAGTTTCGGGAGTTTCAATATTCTAATCTTAATTTTCTAAGTTTTTGATTAACAAAAAAACAAAAAAAAACACCTTAGCATTTATTGACTTCTCTTAACTCACAAGTCTTTTTGACTTCTCTCATATCTACTATTACACCATTTTTAACTTCTCTCATACACTATAGTTAGTGATGAGATTGTTAAATTATTTTTATAAAAAATCTAAAAAAAATAATTTGTATATTAAAAAAAAATCTAAAACAAATATAAATATCTATATCTATATCTATACTATCTATCTATCTATCTATCTATCTATATCTATATCTATATTATCTATACTATATATTAAGTGAAAGGGGGTTTTTAACCCTAAGGCTTGTGGGAGTTCTAATCTGCCAATCTAAATTTCCTGATTTTCTGATTTTAAAAAAAAAATCTTAGCATTTATTAATTTCTCCCAACTCTCAAGTTTTACCCTCATAATAACACTTTAATATATTAAGAACAAGTATAAAAAAAATTCTTTGAAATCCAACACATATAAATTCCTTAAAAAGTCTCAACACATCTATACTGTATATTAAGTAAAAGGGGGTTTTTAACCCCAAGCCTTGTGGGAGCTCTAATCTCCCAATCTAAATTTCTTGATTTTTTGATTTAAAAAAAAAAAACTTAGCATTTATTAACTTCTCCCAACTCTCAAGTCTTACCCTCATAATAACACTTTAATGCATTAAGAACAAGTATAAAAAAAATTCTTTGAAATCTAACACATATAAATTCTTTGAAAAGTCTCAACACATATGATTATTATTCCTCATAATAATACTTTAATGCATTAAGAACAAGCATAAAAAAAAGACATTTAGTTCTTTGAAAAGTCCAACACATATGATTATTATCAAAATATTAAACTTTAATATAATATAAAAAAGGAAAAAAAGAAAATATTTTAAAAAAAATACATTTAAAAATCACAATTCACATATATAGATAATTATAAACACAATCCGTGTATAGCACGGGTGATATGTTAGTATTATATAAGAAAAATAGGATTTTTAACCCACAAGTCTTGTGAGAGCTCCAATGTCTCAATCTTAATTTCTTAATTTTTTGATTTCAAAAAAACTTCAGCACTTATTGACTTTTCTCAAATCTTTTTAACTTCCCATACACACCCTTTTCAAGTCTTGAGAGAACTCTAATATCCCAATTCTCATTTCATAATTTTTTGATTTAAAAAATAATAATCCCACTCACCATTTAATTTCAACTTTTTCAAAATTTAATAACCTTAATCCTACTGTCACAACCTTTTTGACTTCCCCTACCTACTGCGCAGCCTATTCAACTCCTTCCACCATCCGCCATCCGCCATGTATTACATATAACTTCAAATAAAATAAATAACTCTTTAAAGAAAGAGGGAGAGAGTTTAATGGGAAAAAAATGTGATTAACAAAATCTGGGGAAAAGTATAGAGAGAGTTGGACAAAATCTGAAGAAAAAGGCTGACACCTTCATAGTCCACAGAAAAAAAAACTTGTAAGTAATTTTTTTATTTTTTTAATAGTTTCTTTTTTCGTTTATTTTTTTTATTATGAGTCAAAATGTGATTGTGATTTTTTAAATTGATTGGATATTTTAACTCACTGTATTTTTTGAAAAAAATAATTGTATTTTTTAAATATACGGTGATTGTATTTTTAAACTGATTCAATTTTTAACTTAGTGTGTTTTTTGGAAAAAAAATGATTGTGTTTTTTAAATATGAATTAAAAAAATTTGTAACTCACTGATGAGAAAAAAAAAATTTGTTTGAGTTGTGACAATCTCTGTTTTTTTATCACATAATGATTAGATTGTATTTTGTCTATTAAAAAAAATTTATAATTTGATTTTTAACTCACTGGATTTTTTGAAAAAAAAAATGATTGTATTTTTTAACTATCAATTGACTTAATTTATATTGAAAATTTTAACTCATTGTGTTTTTTTGAAAAAAAAAATAATTAAATTTTTTAATTACCAATTAACTTCATTGCTAATATAAAAAATATCTTCGCTATGGTAGGATGCATATGTACAATCACAACTCTATATTGCATAATTTTTTTATTTGCATTATCATTCCTTTTAAGTTTTCGTGAGAGTTGAATCATAGTTTATTTTGTTAGGCACATGGATTAAAGTACTTCTTCTTCTATGTGATTATTGATCATTGTCTTTAGAAAGTGTAAGAAGATCATAAATACCAATGTGATTGTGGAAATTTGTAACTCACTCATGATAAAAAAAAAAAATAATTGTTTGGATTGTGACAATCTCTGTATTTTTTGATCGCATAATAATTAGATTATATTTTGTCTACTAAAAAAAAATTTATAATTTGGTTTTTTAACTTATTGTGTTTTTTGAGAAAAAAAAAATGATTGTATTTTTTAATTATCAATTGACTTAATTTATGATTGAATTTTTAAGTGACTATATTTTTTGAAAAAAAAAAAATTATATTTTTTAACTACCAATTAATTTCATTGTTGATAAAAATAATATATTCGCCATGGAAGGATGCATCTGTACAATCACAACTCTATATTGCATAATTTTTTTATTTGCATTCATCATTCCTTTTGAGTAGAGAGAGTTTTATTTAAAAAAATGTGATTTACAGAATCTGGGAAAAGTTTAGAGAGAGAGAGAGTTGGACAGAATTTGAGGAAAAAGACTGAAACCTTCAGAGTCACAAAAGATCTGTAAGTAATCTGTTCATTTCTTTTTCAATAGTTTTTTTTTATTTATTTATTTTATTATGTACAAAAATGTGATTGTGATTTTTTAAATTTATTAAGTTTTTTTAACTTATTGTATTTTTTGAAAAAATAATAATTGTGTTTTTTAAATATACGGTGATTGTATTTTTAAACTGATTGAGTTTTTGAACTCAGTGTGTTTTTAAAAAAAAATAATAATTGTGTTTTTTAAATATCAATTTAAAAAATTTGTAAATCATTGATGACAAATTTTTTTTGTTTGGATTGCGACAATTTCTATGTTTTTTGATCACATGATGATTAGGTTGTATTTTGTTTCCCCAAAAAATTTATAATTTAGTTTTTTAAGGGGACGGGGAGTGTGATCCTTGGCCCTGCCCAGCCCCATTGACATTCCTACTCTCACGGTACACATGCATCCTTCTTTCCCTTCCTCTCTTCCCTTCCATTAGGAACAATCAATACATATTTATATGACCTTCAAATAAGATATATGTATGCGTGGGTTTGATCAACTGATTATCGTCGTTGGAATTTTATTCCACAATTATGGAATTGTTTGATTTTTTTTTTTTTTGCATGGTTGTTTCGAATCTGCGAGCGAGAGTTGTAAATAATGCTCTGGCGATGGAGATATGAACAGAGAAAATTAGCAAGCCAGTGTTAGCACCGGTAATTATAGTTAATTTTATTAAGCTTTGATCCGTAATTTACCTCCAAATCCTTGTTTTGAAGGTTCTGTGGGGAGTTCATAATTCATTTTTGTTCATTGTTCACCATTGTAGAGTTTGTAGTGTTGACACTTTTTATACAGAATAAATCTACGCTAAAGACGGCTAATAGGGGATAGTCTAATATATAGTACAGATACATATATACATATAGCCACTTGATAGTTCAATATATAGTACAGATACATATACACATATAGATACAAACTAATAGCAAGACTGTCCACTATTAAACCTGACTAAACGATATAATTATTTATCTGATGTGTACACCAGAACTGACCTTGAATTAAGGAAAATAGGAAGAAGAAAGTGGTGGAGAGGGCAAAAACGCTCTCCCTCTCTCTCTCACAGCCGTGGACACATGCACATGGAGAGTGCCTAATTTCAAAACCTTAGGGGACGCCAATGCAATTTAACCTCTAGACCAAAATGTAAACATGAAACAAGAACAAATATGCTGCTATCCACAAGCTTTTCTTTTCTTTTTTTAATTATAACTGAATGAGTTACTTTTGTGATTTGTCCAAAATATACACCACCAATATCATAATAAATACCCCAGCAAAAGATAATGCTTAAAACAACTTTACCTGCTGTGTTCTGTCACCATGAATGGTAGTAGCAGGAAACCCATTCATACACAACCAATGTTCCAGTGAATCAGCTCCTTTCTTCGTCTCCACAAAAACCAGAGTCAGAGCTTGCTGCAAAACCAAGTGCAGAAAAGCAACAATCATGTAGATAATGAAGGTCAAGTTTTAAAATTAGCTTAAAATATGAAACACCAATAAAAATGTTAAACAAAAAATTACCCCATTAACAACATTAAGAACACTAGCACTTGTATATCAAGAGATCAGACTTCCTACTGCAAAAACTCCTCTCTCTTTCTAATAAGATTTCAATTCCATCTTTAAGCTTTAAACAGTAAGTTCTTTGGGCCATAAAATACTAAAATTACCGGATGCGATTGTAATTCACCCCTATATATACGTGTTATTGATGTAAACAGATCATTCAAGAGTGAATATAAGATGTAGCCCATTGTGGCTTTATGTGTGGACATGAGCCAAGATTGATCGAGCCTTAGTAGCAAGAAACTCCTACTTGGGTGACATTTGTCTTCCTTTCACATGAGAACATTCCCAACTTATAACTCATTTGCATCCACTTTTAACTGTCTATTGGTTTTACCCTCCTTTCAAGTAGTAATACAATCATGTAGCCCACTGTGGCTTTATGTGTAGACATAAACCAAGATTGATGGAACCTTAGTAGCAAGAAACTCCTACTTGGGTGACATTTGTCTTCCTTTCACATGAGAACATTCCCAACTTATAACTCATTTGCATCCACTTTTAACTGTCTATTGGTTTTACCCTCCTTTCAAGTAGTAATACAATCATGTAGCCCACTGTGGCTTTATGTGTAGACATAAACCAAGATTGATGGAACCTTAGTAGCAAGAAACTCCTACTTGGGTGACATTTGTCTTCCTTTCACATGAGAACATTCCCAACTTATAACTCATTTGCATCCACTTTTAACTGTCTATTGGTTTTACCCTCCTTTCAAGTAGTAATACAATCATGTAGCCCACTGTGGCTTTATGTGTAGACATAAACCAAGATTGATGGAACCTTAGTAGCAAGAAACTCCTACTTGGGTGACATTTGTCTTCCTTTCACATGAGAACATTCCCAACTTATAACTCATTTGCATCCACTTTTAACTGTCTATTGGTTTTACCCTCCTTTCAAGTAGTAATACAATCATGTAGCTAAAAACCCCCTTTTGCTTAATATATAGTATAGATTAGAGAAATCTGAAGCCACAGTTACACACCATAATCAATATTGCCTCTATAAACAGTCCAATCAACTAAGATTCTTTTTATTTCTTCAAAAATAACTAGTTTCCTAAATGAGCAAATTTTCTTTTATTCCTTTTAATGTACTAATGTTGTAAACTTGTCAGGAACCACTTTTTTTTCTACTCTATCCTTTCCCATAATACTTCTATCTTAATCTATGTTATATACTTGGAGAACTAAGGAAAGATTAGATATAGACAACGTCATATGATTTTCTTTGTATGATACACATTGTTCATTCCTAAATGGAATAGGTTAATAGTACACATGATGCGTTTTATGACATAAACAAATTAAAAAAACTCGATCTTTCATTTGTGATCAGACATGGACAAGAGTTGGATTGCATTGGGTAAGACACCTGATGGAAGGATGAGTCAGCCATTTATTGATGGGGTGACATCATTTATCAAATTTGCAATGGCAGTTGTTGACCAGGAAGGTAAAATTTCGTGCCCATGTTTGAACTGTGTGAACTATTATTCCCAAAGTCTTCGAAATGTGCAAGTTCATTTGCTTCAATATGGGATTATGCAAACGTACACTATTTGGCATGAGCACGGGGAACCACGTGTATCAAATGAGGCTCATCATGAAATGGTAATTGATGAAGATGAGGTTTTAGGTGGTATTGATGCCTTAGTGGAAGATCGAATAAGAGGAGAACCCAACGATGCACCCCAGAATGAGGAAGTACAAACGTTTGATAAACTATTGAATGATGCCAAACGTGAGGTGTACTTAGGTTGCACAAACTACACTCTGTTGAAGTTTGTCATCGAGCTGCTTAATATGAAGGTAACAAACCACTGGAGCAATAAGTCGGTTAACACACTATTGGAGTTTTTAACAAAACTTTTACCAAAAGATAATTTGGTTCCAAAGTCATTTTATGAAGCTAAGAAAATACTTCGAGATTTGGGCTTGTCATATGAGTTAATTGATGCTTGTATAAATGATTGTATACTCTTTTGGAAGGAAAATGCAAGGTTAGATAAATGTCCAAAATGTAAGGCATCCAGATACAAGATCAATCGTGGCAGGGGTAAGAAGATTCCCCATAAGGTGTTGCGGTACTTCCCATTAACACCAAGGTTGAAAATATTGTACATGTCAAGAAAGACTACTGAGGACATGAGATGGCACAAGGAGAAACGTATAGATGACGAAGTATTGAGACATCCCGCCAATAGTGATGAATGGAAGGAATTTGATGTGCAACATCCTCAGTTTGCCCTGGAGTCTCGAAATGTGAGGCTAGGGTTGGCTGTTGATGGGTTCAATCCTTTCAGGAACATGAGCAATTCGTATAGTTTATGGCCTGTAGTACTCATTCCTTATAACTTGCCACCTTGGTTGGCTATGAAAGATCCCTTTCTTATGATGTCACTACTTATTCCTGGAGAATCACAACTAGGGATTGATATTGATGTCTACATGAGACCTCTGGTGGATGAGTTGAATGAGTTGTGAAAAAATGGTGCATTATCTTACGATGCCGTAACTGGTGAGTCTTTCCAGATGCGTGCAGCTTTGATGTGGACTATACACGATTGGCCCGCATTTGGTGACATATCTGGGTGGAGAACAAAAGGTCATTATTCTTGCTACACTTGCAATGATGAACCATATTTTCAATCCTTGAAAGGTAAGACTGCATACACTAACCATCGATGCTACTTGCCTCAAAACCACCCCGAAAGGCGAAAGAGTAAGGCTTACAATGAGTGTATTGGAGACAAAAAAATTCGTCACAAATTTATCATTTTTAATGATGAATTTGTTTTTGTCTCTATTGGTAGCTTCTTTGACAAAAAATTTTCGTCTTTGTTTATATTAAACGTGACAAAATTATTTCGTCTCTATTTCTTATATTTATGACGAAATACTTTTGTCTCTAATTTCTTCTTTAATGACAAAATATTTTGTCGCTAATTACTTACAAGTATGTTCCCAACAAAGTGTATTGGAGACAAAAAAATTCGTCACAAATTTATGATTTTCAATGACGAATTTTTTTTTTTCGTCTCTAAGACCCTTTAGCGACGACCCTTTGGAGACAAAACGGGTGACGAAAAATGTTCGTCGTAATTAGTTTGGGTGACGAAATATATACATTTTGGGACAAATTTGTTTCATCTTTAAATCCCAAATTTGTTGTAGTGAATGACCCAGAAATGAAATTCTTGCGAATCTCTAGCACATGGAGTACATTGTTAAGAGTGAGTTCTTTCCCTGAGGTCATTTTCAGCACAATCTTTCCTTGTTCTTTTACTGTTGAAGTAGAAGACTTTCCTATAAAAAGTTGTTCCCCACTTTCCACCACTTTGTAGGCTATGAACATCTTTTTATCTGCACAGATATGGCGGATTGCTCCAGTATCCACCTACCACTCATTGGGATTGCCCACTAAATTTGCTTCAGAGACTACTGTAGCAAGATTGATGTCTGTCACTCCATAGGAAAGATAAAAATCCTCGGTTATGTTAGCTTGTGCTGGCTTTTCGCTTGAACTCCCACCGTCCTTGTGACAATCTTTAGCGCGATGCCCATCTTTTCCGCACACAAAACACTTGCCTTTGAACCTCTTGTTGAGCCCATTGTTGATCCCTTTATTGATCTTACTAGTAGATCCTTGTTTGGGACCATTGCTGTCATGCTTCCGCTTCTTGTTGTTGAACTTTGACCCTTATCCATGTTTCACAACATTTGTTTTAGCCTGCATGACATGGTTTCCTAATTTCTTGTCAGAACCACGGTTGTTCTCCTCAATTCTGAGTCGCACAATCAATTCCTCCAATTTCATCTCCTTACACTTATGCTTTAGATAATTCTTGAATTCTTTCCAGGAATGTGGCAATTTTTCAATGATTGTCGCTACTTGGAAAGATTTACTGAGAACCATCCCTCCCGCATGTATGTTATGGAGAATTAATTGGAGATCTTGAACCTAGCTAATAACCATATTGGAATCTATCATTTTAAAATCCAGAAAACGGCCGACAACAAATTTCTTTGTACCGACGTCCTCTGTCTTATACTTATGATCTAGAGATTTCCATAGTTCTTTAGCAGTGCTTTTAACACTATACACATTATACAGTGCATTATTCAACCCATTGAGGATACAATTTCGACATAGAAAATCACCATGTTTCCATGCATCGACTGCGACAACCGCTTGCTGGTCAGTTTCTCCCTCGTTCAGTGCTGGAACTTTTTCATGGGTGATGCAAGCCAAATTCAATGTGGTAAGATAAAACATCATTTTTTGTTGTTATCTTTTAAAATCATTTTCATTGAATTTTTGTGGGTTCTCCCTATGATTTACCGATACTGCCGGAGTCATCACTGGCACAACAAGTGTGGGAGTCGGAGTAATAACAGTCTCAGTACTGTTAATTTTAGTTGTCATAATTCTGATGAAATTAAAATACCTAATCACAAATTGATATGCAAAAGAATTTACACACAAAATAAACAGAATAATATTTTGTAACAAAATTCCAATGATAAACAGTATATTACTACTATGTTATCAAAGAAATCATTAAACAGTATATTACAACTATTTAATTTCTCGAAACAAAATATTCATCTATCTAACACAAATAAATAAATAAATAAATAGAAATCCACTTTAAGATTGTTATACCTACAGTGGTGTGTGTGTACAAATTAAATGTATAAATTAAATAAATAATAAAATAAAATAATTCAAAAAATAATTATATAAATTATTTTCTGAATTAAACGCTTACAGAAATTAATGTCGAGGCTTGTGTTGGACACAATCTCCATAAAGTAGATTTCACCTTCGCTTCGATGCTTCGTGTTTTACCGGCGTTTACTTCCTAGGATGCAAAGACTAACACTTAAATTTGCAGCACTACAAATTTAAGTTTGGCAAACCAAAACTCAATTGTAACTTTCTCTTTTTCTTCCTAAAAAATA